GAAGCAAGCGAATGAGAGAAAAGAGTTTTTTGCCAAGTTATTACCTCATTTATTTTGGACCGTATATTTCATTTACAATGTGCATGAAAAGTTGAATTCCATTAATAAAACGTGTTTCATATTAATAAAACGTGGAAAAAGTTATTTAAAGTAATTCAAAAATCCACTTAATAATTAGGCTACACGTCTGAATTGGATTGGGTAAGGCGTGCTATAGATACTCGTGTGGGGGATCCGCGGTCTTTATTTCGGCAGAAACTGCATTTGAGTAACAAAACTGTCTTCCTTTTTCTGGTACTGAGAATCCCAATTTGAGGGACAGAAACAACCTCGATTTTAGCTAAACAAAGCTCGACTCCAAGTTGTTCAAGAATAGCAACGTCGAGTTTGTAATCCGAGCTTCCCTTCAATAGTCTTTTAATTACGCTGCAGTTTTCGAAGAACCTCGCAGGTACGCTCTGTCTACACAATATAATTATCATCTGCTATAAAGCTTGCTTACACATAGTTTTGATCTAACAAAGATTGACTTTCCCTTCAATAGTCGTTGAATTCTTAGGTTAGTGTGTTTGAGCCGCATTATTTTGGAAGAATGTATTTTAGAATAGTAGATTGATGGAGAATGTGTGGTTGAAAAAGAAGGAAAAGTTATTGATGTGATGAAAAATATTATTTTATTGAAGAATGTGTGGTTGAAAATGAATAGAAGAATGATAATGAAAATTTTAATATTGCTCAAACAAGAACATAGTATATGTATTGGCATTATTACCTTAATAAAGGTTGACTTTCCTGGTAATAATTTCGAACCTTAAATTTAAGATTTATCTCGAGTTTTTCTAGTTTTTTAGATTTCTGATTCATCATTTGTGCCATGCACTGAAATGGCTGAATAAGGATGAAATATTTTAAGAGCATCGCCTTTCCCAGTAGGTACAGATGAAGATATCTTCTGCACTTGTTTTAGGTGAATTATCCCTAATATAACATGGAAGAGAAGATAAAATAGATAGAAAGACCGAATATACTATCAAGAATCCTTAATTGTGTACTAACAACTAACCAGTCGAAACTTGAGCTAGAAACGGCTTAAGTTTTTTAAACGACATGGCTCACGAAAAATCCGTTCCTAGGACTTCTAATAATTAGGGTTTTTTCATTGACTCACGAGACTTGTAGAGCTCTGATAGATCTCACGAAGGATTTTTTTCCCCTAATGAGTCGAAATTGTGACGAAAAGACCCTAACTGATAGTCCTATTGGAGTTCTACGAGTCCTAATTAAAAAGCTTTACGAGTTCCAAATGATAACTCTACGAATCTCTTATTAAAAAGACCGTAAGCGAAAGCACGACGAGCCCTTGAGATAGAAAAAAAAAATGGCAACTTCCTGATGGAAAGTCTTCTATATTAATAAATATTAGGATAAATAAATGTATAATATAATTTTATAGATTTATAATGAGAGGTCCCGCCAAATAAAATTTGCAAAATACACCCCCACAATGGTTTTAACAATGACCACAAACATATATTAATTTTGTTAGTCAACTAGGGCTCCTTCGTAACTATTTCAAATAGATAAGTATTAATTTTAAGTAGGGGGCTATTTGATAAAGCTTTTGAAAAATCTTAATAGATTATTATGATAAAATATTTCGCTGAAAAGTTGAAAGAAGTTACGAGTCTTACCAAACAGAAACTAATTATGTAATTAAAATTAATTATTGATTTTGATCGATCTCAACTACCAAACAAGAACTCGTTCTATATTCGCGGTTGGATAAACTTTTTTTTTTCTTTTCCATCAAATTTATTAATTGTTTCATTCAATCTTAAACAAGTGAATATAATCTTGGAAACATTTCTCCGTCAAATGTGGAAATCCACGTTTTAATTAATTTTAGGTAAAAATTGTCGTACACGCAGTTTGCCAAATCTGAAATCACCACTTTTCCAACGACCTTGAAGTCAAATGATTTTGTCTTTTTGCCTTAGTCCAAAAGTCTAATGATTAAATTACGGTGGTCGGTTAAAAAATTAATAATCATACAAAAGTTGTAATCCACTAATTGTAGCCGGCCTGTAATGTTTATCACTACTCTAAGTCCAAACTAAAGAAATATTTTTTATCAAAAACTCATTGGACATAAAATTGTGACCTACCATTGGATAAGAACGAGTCAATTTTGGAACCATGCGTGATCATCGATGACGTTTTCTACACTTCTTATAGTTTACTTTTTCTTTTTTATTTTCTTGCAAAAATAAGTCTCTCAATATTACACTATTTGATTCAATCTTGTACGGTTTATTGAAGGCATATCGGGCAAGACTTTTGAAAAGTCAAAATTGTTCCTGAAATTTAGAAGCTGCTTTTAAATATTTTTGGATAATTTTCTAATCTTTTTTATTTAACTAGAAGAACTTTTAAAGAAAGTTCGTAAAATAAAAACAGAAGTTATATCAAACAAGTCCTAAATACATTGTTGTAACAATAATATTGACCTCCGAATTTATAAAATTCATGTCTCGTAGTAAAATAATAGTTGGCACTAGCACATCAAAGATAACTTTATGCAACATTTCACATGTAATAAATAGCAATAAATAATAAATTCACCCAAGTCGGCACCCAACTCACCTTAATTGAATGCATAATCTCAACCACCAATCCTAATTATAAATGTTTAGGTAAAGGGAAAGGTGGAAAAGCTCCAACTTTGCTTAAGACTGCCATATCAAGGGTTCGAATCCTGAAATATGGATTTGGCCCTTGGGTAAGTATAAGTGTACAAGTAGTCTTCCACCCTGCAATTTACCTCTTTTACCATGACCTAGGGCAGGGCAGGGCAGGAGGGGGCCGCTAAGGATGCGGTTCATCCTTTTTTATAAATGTTTAGGTATTATCGAAGTCAAAATTAATTTATTTAATTATTTAATTACATATGCCTAATCAAATAGTCGGACCATTAGGCAGAAATATGTGAAAATTACACAAAATCAAAATTTTAAATATTCAATTTCAAAAATCAAATTAAAAGTTTCACTTTTCAAAAATTAGATATCTTATTTTTAAATATTAAATATTAATTATATAATTTCCATCCAAACCTTAATCAATTTCATCATAATTTTCTCTCTCTTCTCTCCGTCATTCTCTCTGACTTCTTCTCTCCGCTGTTTTCTCTTCCTTCTCTCCACTCTCTGACGCTCTCTCCTCTCTCCTCTCACTCTCTACTCTCCTCCCTCTTCGGCTCTCCGCGGCAGCCCAACCTCCACGAGACGGCGCATTGTATTTCTTCTTCCTTATCTCTTCTCTCTGTCACTCTCTCGTTCGTCGCTGACAGCGGCGATCGGGAGTTCGCCTCGAGCAATATGGTGTTGGTATTCGCAGTAGCGCTGATGTCTTGTTGATATGCCGCGGTGCTCTCCGTTGATTAGATCGGGCGAGGTGATGATGTGTAGCAGTGGTGGTTTTGGTGATGCGTGTGGTAGTGATGTGTGGTTGTGGTTGGATCTGGCTAGGTTGCTCGACAACACTAATGTTGTTGGTGGTTTCCAGTCGTTGCGATGATGTTGTTGTGGCTATAGTCGGCATGATCCCATTTTGGATAGTGTAGCGATGCTCTCAGTCGATTGGATCTGTTGGGGTGGTGGTGATGTGTGGTTGTGGTGCTTGTTCTAGTGGCGGTAGTTTTGGTGATGTTTGGTTGTGATTGGATTCGGTGAGGTTGTGGTGGAGGTAGTTGGGGGGTGACAGTGACTATGTTGGAGACGGAGGTTATGTTGGATGCAATGGTGGCTGTGGTTTTTTTGGTGGCAGAGGTGGTAGATCTTGGTGGTGGTCTTGAGTTGTTGGTGGCGACAGGTCTCTCGAGGTGGCGATGGATCGGTGCTACGACGAGATGGTGTTTTTCGCGATGTGTTGATTTGTTTGAGGTGGTGGTGGTTCTAGCGATGACGGGGCAGTGGTGCTACTGGAGGGAGTGGTGCGATAATGGTCACAAGTGTTAGTTGTGGTCGCAAATTATTTGGTTGATTGTGACTATTAAATTGGTTAATCTGTGACCAATGAAAAAGATAAATTGTGACAAAAGAAACTTGTGACCTAAAAAACTGTTAATTTGTGAATAATTTGAATGAAAAAGATAAATTGTGACAAAACAAATGTATAACCTAAAAAACTGTTAATTTGTAATCGATAATTTAACAATTTGTGACTATCTGTTAGTTGTAACTAATAATATTTGTGATTTGTGACCTATAAATAAATTGTGACGTTTCAATTTTTGATTTGTGACCATAAAAAAAATTGTGATTTATGACCAATGAATAATATGTGACTTATTAATTTAATAGATTTGTGACCGATTAATAAATTATGACGTATAAATTTTTTATTTTTGATCGATGAACAAATTGTGACCTATAAATTTTTTGAATCATGACCGTAAAATAATTTGTGACATATGAAAATTGTGATTTGTCACCAATTAATAATATGTGACCAATTATATGAAATTATAACCAAATTATATGGAATTGTGGCCTTAATATATTTAATTAGTGTTTTGCTCCTTGTACAGAAAGGAAACCATAGAAAATCACCAGAATACACACAAACAGTGGGCCCCACCGTGTATTTAAAAAAAATGCGTGGGACCCACATGTGAGTCTATTTTGTGAATTTTCTATTGATTTTATTTCTGTACAAGCAGCATCTCTCATTTAATTAATGAAATATATGTTTAATTAATTAATTTATAAATAAAATTTAAACAAGTCTGAAATTTTAAATTTTAAATAAAATCTCTTAAATTTAAAATTGGTAAAATTAAAGTCATGGAACCTTCCCAGAAATATACTAATACAACTATACAAGTTCAATAGTCAATTGGTAGGTAGTTATTAAAAGCCCCGCCACCTCCAATACATTTCAAAAAAAAAAAAAATTCTCATAATCTGCTTATTTTACAGACGAGTACAATCTGTTTAAGCATGAAGAAGCAGAATACCGCCGCCGCCGCCACCGGACGCGGGCGCCAGCAACCGGAGGTACAGTTACATAATGTTCTTTTGTTCTTTTTTATTTTTTTTTTCTGTATGGGTCGAGAGGGATTGCAGAAATGTTGGGGTGAAATTTTTTGTTTTGCTTGATCGTGCTTGCAGCTTTTTTGGCCGCGCATCGTTGTGCGCAAGTTACTCAACATCAACGCCAAGAACTCCGATTACTCTGCCGATTCTGACTCCGGCTCAGATTCCGACCAAGGTTTGGTATACTTCCGTAATTGCTGTTCTAGTCTACACTTCTGAAAATTTTCAATTTATGTTTATTCAATGATCGTTGAGGTTTTACAGAAATTTGTGATTGGCCGAGAGAATCACGATTTAAGAAGGAGAGAAGTGATGAAGTTCAGATCGATGATAATGGTAATACGATTTTGTTCAAAGTTCAAAATGTTGAATTTTTCCATCAATTTACTTGCTTTTGGATGAAATTTTTTGTGATCTGTGATCTGTATAGCTATGCATACTATCCCAGAGGCTCTTCCCAGGCTAAGAAGACGAAATTCAGAGACATTTAGAGCTCAGTATATAAACAATAAGAAAATCAGGTATTTCTTTACATTTTGAAGAATAAAGTGGGACTGATTATTGCTGAGGTTAATGGGAAAACATCATTGGATTTTTTGGTAGAGTTAGCGCGAGGTTTAATTTATTTAATGTTGTCTTTTACTTTGCTAGAATATGTGCTGCCACATGGAATGTTGGTGGAAGAGTTCCTTCAGACGACCTAGATCTTGATGATTGGTTAGATATTAATGATCCCGCCGACTTGTATGTAATTGGGTAAGTTGCTCAATTTGTACAAGGATTCAACTTAAGTATATGATAAAGACTCGGATCTTGTTATTCTATGTACTTTCTGTCTACAGCCTTCAGGAGATTATACCATTAAATGCTGGAAACATATTTGGTACTGAAGATAGTCGTCCAGTTTCGAAGTGGGAAAACATAATTCGTGAAAATCTGAACAGAATTCCACCAGTGACTAAGCTTAAATGCTATAGTGATCCTCCATCTCCATCCAGGTTTAAGCCATCTGAAGATGCACCAGATATTGAAGATGAAATTTTACTTGAATCAGGCAGTGATTTAGAGGAGGAAATCTACCCATTAAATGAAGAACCAAACAATCTTGATGAAATCAAGGATGGAATGGTTGGAGGGGAAAATTTCATTGATGCCGATGCCTTGGTGTCCAAAGAGGAGCAACAACAATTTGATTCTCCAAAGAGACTCAATCAATTGAACTGCTTTAGAACAGATGGTTCAGAAGAAAATGGAGGACCCCAAACTACCCACTATATCAATAAATTAACCAAAACGCTTAGCAGCACAGAAAGGATAGGTTTAAGCTGGCCGGAGCTACCACTAGATCTTTTGTCTCAGCATAGTTTTGAAAGAACAAATTCCTTAACATCTATGAAATCTTTCAAAGCTTACAAATCTTTTAGAACATATAGTTCTTTTAAATCAAATGAGAATAGTGAAAATAGAATGCGATCTGATATAGATTCACTTGCCGAAGTTGACCTTGAATCCCTAATAAATCGTAAAAGAAGGCCCCCGTATGTAAGGATAGTAAGCAAGCAAATGGTTGGAATATTTATTACTATATGGGTCCGCAGGAGCTTGCGAAGGCATATACAACATCTCAATGTCTCTACTGTTGGTGTTGGCGTCATGGGTTACATAGGCAACAAGGTGTGTTCTTTCTTCTATATCTTAGCTTGCTTTTTGGTAAATGTCTGTTTTGTCAACATATCCTATTTCATTTGTTGTGTATTTTGGAATTTCTCATAGTAAAACATTGAAGAAAATATTGCTTTCACCACTGTGTCAAAATATGAAGCACAGACATCTGGAATGAGAACAAGGGATAACTTTCTTGCAAGTTATGCATCTAATAATGAATGACAATAAACAAAGAGTTGTAGGTCTGTGTTCAACCAAGTTTTCAAGATCAAGATTTAGAGGCCACGGCCATTATTTAAAGTCATGTATTAGTACATTAGATTCCTAGTTAGAGCTAATCAGACATCATGAGGAATCTTAAAATTGATTCAGGGTAATTTGAGCCTTTTTTTTTTTGCCTGTGGTCATAATCATTCCTTTTGTGCATCGAAATGAATAACAACCGAATTAGTTTCCTTGTTAATTGGCTATTACATTGGTAAATCTGACTCAAACTGGAATACTCCAGTTTGCTTTTCTCGTCTTTCATTTCTACAGTTTGACAGTTAAGATAGAGAACCAACGTAGCTTACATTCACTTTATGTTTGACATGATTTCTGTTTGTTTTAGTCAGTGTTAATTTCTATCTTTTATTTATTTGTTGTACTGGATGAACGTGTAGAAGTGAAATCTTGAAAACTAATTTCTAAACATACCGGATTATGCTCAGAGAGTTGTTCTCTTCATGTTAGATATCAACAGATAATTGATTATGAAATCATTTTAGTAATTTAAAGTGAATGTATCAGATTCTAATTCCTCATATTTTGATACTATCCTTTTTCCTTTCAGGGATCAATATCAGTTAGTATGTCTATATATCAGACGCTCTTCTGTTTTGTTTGCACTCACCTAACGTCAGGTGAGAAAGATGGGGATGCAATCAAAAGAAGTGCTTGTGCTCATGAAATACATAGACGGACACGTTTCAATTCACTCTCTGCTATTGGACTTCCTAAGAGCATATATGACCATGAGTAAGTAAATTGCATCCTTCCACATTTTCTTTTCACTCTCTCTCTCTCTCTCTCTCTCTCTCTCTCTCTCTAATATTCATGGTAGCATGTGGTAACTATAAGTGAAGGTTGCTATCTTTGAAAGTAATCTGCATCTATGAATTTGTCAAACAAATGGAAAATAAAAAAATTGGGACATCTTGGATGATGATTGACTATCCTATGATAAGTCTCTGATGCTGTACTGTGGGAATTGAACCGGGTTCAATAGATGCTCCCATAATTTAAGAAATCGCGTTTGGCAAATACAACTTTATAAAATCATACTTTCAACCGGATTGCGGCATGTGGATGCATCTTGGCTATTAGTTTGAATTCTGGATGATTCTTTTACTATGCCATATTCATTTGTCATTCTCGAGTTTTTGCTTTAGGGTTTCATTTTTGTTCTCTATGTGATAGCGTCGTTCTGAGGGTTTTCTCTGTGTTTTCGATCTCTCTGTAATTCCTTCTCAAATTCTTGATTTGAGAAGGTAATCTATAATATTGTAGCCTCTTTGCGATGATATTCTGAGTGAATATCTGTTAGGAAGTGTTTGTGCTTTTGACTTGTTGATTTTGAGGTTTTGAAGCGATTCTTTGTGGTTCGTATAAATTGATTGCTGTATTTTGATAGAGATAAATGTTCTGTACTATTTTTTGTGATTGACTGAACATTATTGTAACCTTTTGTTGCTATTTTGGACGTTATAGTGGAACCGAGCATAATCCAACTTTTGGATGCTCAACGGGGAATGTAGGTGTTAAAAGCGGTCACCGAACTTCCGGGGCTTATGCCGAAATATATCGATTGTGTTCTTTTAATTTTCTGCACTATCTTTCAAAGAAGGTTTTGGTATTTCTTGTTTCTTGGTCGAATATCGTGTATTCTTGGGCTAACATGTACCATTTGCTTCTTGATCTTGAATTTACAGCAATGTAAATGTTTTTCAATTTTCGTAAGTATTTGGACACTTCTGTTCACTTTGATTGGTAACGAGACTTTGTCCGTTGTTGTATCATACATTTTTGGTTATAGGATCTAATTAGTAGACCAGTAATTGTACTTGTAAAAATGAATGTGGAAAGGATCATTTACCATTTGCAACTTCCATATTAGTAGCTCTGCTCAAATGACCTTCATCTGGTCGCAGGAGAATAATCTGGCTGGGTGACTTAAATTATCGCATCAATTTGTCCTATGAGAAAACAAGAGAGCTGATCTCCAAAAAGGACTGGTCCAACTTAATTAAGTATGACCAGGTGAAACTTGAATTTTTCAGTTTTCTTTAATTGATAGAATAATTAATATTGAAGTCCTTCTCACTATTATGAGCATATATTTTTGTCGAAATGTTGACTAAAGACTAGAATCTTCTGCACTATTTGCTGACACCCAAATTCATAGGAGTTAAAAACAGAAGACACACACAATAGCATTGAGAAATGCAATGATATCAATAATTATGGTCTACTTTTTCGACATTTATTTTGTCTTAATTAATGTTCATATAATGTGAAGTTGTCTTATACGTTGTTCCATAATACATTCACAAATTCCTTCATTGGCAGCTAATCAGTGAGTTCAGAAAAGGTCGTGCATTTGATGGATGGTCTGAAGGTACTTTGAACTTTGCACCAACTTACAAATATGAGACAAATTCCAAGTCTTATTTTGGAGAGGATCCGAGGGCTGGGAGGCGAACTCCTGCATGGTATGTATATATCTCGGTGGTGTTCTTTATGATGCAAAGTGTCTGATCTCGTAGGCATCCTTCCCTCTAGTAGTCTTGAACCATATATCGAGTGCAATTGTGATAATTCTGCTTGTTTCTCTGGTTTTGTTTCCTCTCTACTAATATCAGCTTTTTGTGTGTGTGCGCTTGCGCTCCACTAATGTTAACATATGCTTAATTGTTAAAAGATTTTATTGTTTCTTGAAGTATTTTATATTTAGTTTTTTATCTTTTCAGGTGTGATCGTATTCTTTCCTTTGGGACGGGCATGAGATTGCTAAGCTATAAGAGGACTGAACTTATGCTATCTGATCACCGACCTGTGAGTGCCTCTTTTACTGTGGATGTTGAAGAATTTTCTTCAAGGAAGTTGCAACGAGCACTCACACTCACTGATGCCGAAGTTGAAGAAAGAGATATTGGAATTTGTCATGGAATTAGCATGTTAAGATCAGAAGAGGTGAGTGTTGTACCAAGTTCGATACATGTTACCAGGCAATTCTTTGCCCCAATCTATGCGTTTGTCGATCATAACATTGATGAGAGCTAAATTATTATCGTTTGTTTGCTTGCTGAAGCAGGATGCATCATATTGGGAGCGCTAAGTACGGTCAATACATGAAAATGTTGATAATTCTGTAAGCGGGAGCATATATAAAGAACTGGATACGTCATGAAGTAATGAACATTATTATATAATCTTCCTTAGCAAACGTACCATTAAGGTTGTACATTGTGGTCAGTCTGTAATTTTCTTCAGCGTGTACTTTTGTTATACTCACAATATGTGCCTGTAGTAGATTGCACTGCATAGAAATTAATTATCCAATGCATTTGGATGGTGCCAATGGTAATTTGTATCTTTGTAAATTAATCAATTTTCCCATAAAAATTGCTTGTTCAATATTTTAAATAATGCTTAGTTATGTTGGAATTAGATTGGTTGCTATTGCAATGTTTTTGCACGATCATGGGTTGAACCCTAAAAAGTAGGGTTGGACAAAACTTTCGAACCGGATCCAAATCTAATCGAACGGTTCTTCATAAATTAAATACCTGAACATGTATCTGAATCGAGAACCTAAGGGTTTGGTTTGGTTCTAGACTCAGAACCGAATAAGAACTGAATTTAAATAATTTTTAAAAATTTTAAAATTGAATTAATTATTATTTTTTAAATTTTTTCTAAACAAATTAGCAAATTAACTAATTTAGTGATTAATGTTTTAACTCTCAAGCCAAATCCATGCCTAATTAGCCCAACCCAATTTCTAAATTCAATTTTTTTGTCCAATTATTAATTTCATTTTTAGCCGAAGATCTAAACATTTTTAAGCTTTTAGCATTCTCTTTCCAATTTCACACTTTCATTTGGTAACTATTGAGTTACTGACCCCAAATCATTTGATAAATTGAAAATCTACATCTACTTGCTCAAATCAAAGCCGCCGACTATCGAGTCCTACTTTCCCTCTCCAACTGGCCATCGAAGCCGCGACCTGCTACCACGATTACTGATCGTTGACCATTAAAAATTTTAAGTATGATATAAAATCGAAGGAAATCCGAACGGTTCCATAATTATATTTGGACTAAACGATTCCATTTATTAAATACTCGAAAATTTTGATTCAATTCGATTTTGAAGAAAATCAAACAGAATCGGACCATGTCCAGCCCCACCAAAAAGTGAACGTTGAGCACACTCTGAATTCAACTAAAAGCGCATCAAAGGAACATAGGTTTCCTTGGACTATATTCCAAGAGGAAAAAGATCCTTCCACTCATCACAAAATCCCACTTTTTAAGACCTTTCATTCTCGACCATCAAATACAAAACTCAACCAAATCAAGCACTTTAAGCATCGTTGATTTTAATCATGAATTCATTCCAAATTATCTAGAGAATAGAATCAATGAAGAAATCACTGGGCAAACAAGATGCCCTTTTCATTCAATAGGGCTTTATATAGTCTACACATTTCATCAATGCAAGAGCAACACACTACCGAACATTGTTACCAGTACATAATTTGGGTATCGCCGTTGCCCTACGTTTTTTACACCAGCAAGGGAGTTGGAGTCTCTACACTTGTTCAAGATTTCAGGCTACCGAACATTGTTACCAGTACATATCTTGGGTATCACCGTTGCCTATGTTTTTTACACAATCAAGGGAGTTGGAGTTGTTCAAGATTTCAGGCTTTTTCAACCAGTACTGCTGAAACCTTTGCCTTGCATATTCCATATAATCAAACTCGATATGATTCACATATGCCTGCAGAGTCCAAAAATAGGCAAACGTATTAAATCAGCACTTATTTACACGTAAAAAGAACAGAAGGAAAAATAAAATGAAAAACGCTTACTGAGATTAACCCCCACAATCCCCAGAAGATATGGCTTGCCAGAGTGAATTTCTCTATATCGTCAGCGAACTGCTTTACTTCAGTGTCACTGGGTTGATGGCCTGCATACATTAATGGAAATGTTAACTCATATAGAATGTATGAAACACAATTATATAATCCTTGTAAAAAGGGGATCAGAGTTTAATTCAAGAACATCATGTGAACTAAGATCATTGAAGTTTTTTCTCATGATTCAAGTTTAAGGGGTCATTTTCAGTCAGTCAACCATAAACATTAGTTGAACTGCCAAGAATTGGATAAGGATGAAGTAACTTTGGATTAACACGAAGTCTTAATATCTGGTCCCGGTAGCAGCACTTTTTGTCCCTACAGACCAAACAAGAAATCAAAGGCAATAAAAGAGAGATAACAGGTTGGACGATTGGCCTTTCTCCCATTTAAAGGTCACTAGAAGTCAAAAGGGAAGTATGGTACTTCGATCATATTTTAGTCGAAAACTTAAAATATATATATATATATATATGAAAAGGGACACACCACGAACACATGTATTGGAGTGTCGAAGTCCAATGTGTAGGACTAGTGCCTACGCCTCATAGATTACGTATTAATAGTATTTGTCTTCAGTATAAGGTATGTTCAAAAATAAACTTACATTCCAAATATCAGGTACAATTCCAAACAACTAAGCAAATAGCGAACAAACCTGAAGATCCAAGGTATTTATGTATGAATCTTAGACGCTCATCTTGATCTGTTGCCAAATATAGAAATGTTAAACAATCCGCTATTGAGTTATACCACTTAATCCTGTTCTAGTTTGACATATGAAGAAAGAACGATACAATAAACCAATAGTAGAACTTGCATAAAAATTCCAATCAAGATAGTGGAAATTACTCACCAGGATATTTGCTATAATCCAAGATATGAGGCGTCTCAGTGTGATAATCCGCTGCCATCTCACAGAAGTGATTCGCAAGATCATAAGCAATAGGATTGTAACTGGCATACTCATAATCCTGTAAAAGAAATAAAAATCATAAAATGTCAGAACATAGTTTCCTCATCTGAATAATTATAATTATTTCTTCATTTCTACCAAATACTTTTAAGAATTGAAGCAGAACTTACAATTAGAGTGATAGATTTTGCCTTATCATCAATCATTATGTTACCATATTGCAGATCATTGTGGCAAAAACCAATTTGTTGGTCGTGACCTGATAATGCCTTTTCCAATAAGTTGATCTCCTTTTCCAATTTATCCAAGTGAAATTCCTTCACATGTTCCGGGGAGCATAAACTCTTGGCCTCGCTAAGCCAATTTCTGCAGAGGATATAAAGTCAGCTATATAATCTTCTAATGCATACAATTACTGTTTTGTTTGCAGATTGGTACCTCATTCTGTCCCACAAGACTACATTCTTTGTTCCAGGCATATCAAGATGATGGAATTCCTTCATTTTTGCAGCTATCAGAGCGGAAATTTCAGGGTTGCGAAGGTCAGCAGCTGATAGAGTCTGCAAGGCCAAAAGTAGGTGGAAAAAGAGACTAGATGATTAATTTTCTGCGAATTTCCAAAACCATAATAAACACGCCATCTTCAACCGCCTTTTGACAAAAAGGTCGAAGTAAAACCTCAGATCGAATGATTCCTGAGTCGGCATAACTTACATAAGGTTTTAAAGCATCGGAGTTTTTGGATCCATGTTGTTATGCTTATCGAACTGTATACTTTAATTGTCTTTTGTAAACACCTCCATAATCTTTTACAAAATTATGAGGACAAAATTCTCAAAGCTTTAATACGTATTTCGCTTTATTCTGTGCCTCTTAATCACTTACACATGATTCAGAATCTTTTTGTCGAAGTGGAAACAAACCCCACATGGTACCAAGGACTAAATTCCTAATCTTTAAAGGGCACTTTTTCTTGGAGAAACGTTTCTATCAATATGAAAAGATAAGACATCATCTGCTAGCAAAAATATCTTCTTCCAAACAAGAAAAACCAGACAACTTAACAATGAAATTGAAATTAAATCTCACATACCCTGGCATGAATGAACTCCTCGACTCGCCCCTCCTTGAATTGACCAAGAAGCTTAGGTCCATGACCATGAGTCGACATGCATTTAAAAGTTCTAATTTCCTCATCCCGGTTGAAGAAAAGCTCAACCCCTTCGCCATAAATCCTAACCAAAACCGTTCTTGGAAAATTTTCCAGTTTTGTTGGCCAGCTTATTTGATAAATTTCATTAGTCATGGCACCACTCAAATGAATCACCTTCAAATTACTTGAATCAAGCACATCTCCCCATTCTGAAGCCAAAGTTAATAGCAGGTTCATCAATTCATCAGGCAAACTACCTTCTGCAAATCCATTCGTCTTCACCGCCATAAAAAATCAAAACAAATTTCACCTTACCAAAATAATAAAATTCTAATTAGCATCTATTTCATATATCCATATCTATTGTAATGTTTTCAAGAAAATTCAAGAAAACTGATCATAACAGGTACCGTATTCAATTCAAGAACCCAAATAATCCAAAAACAAAAATGAATTCAAGAACTTACTTTGAGATAGAGATTGAAAGTTGTTGAAGATTTTTTTATGGAAAATTTGAAATGAAATTAAGAAGGGCTAAAGCACAAAAGGTTGAAGAAAACTCCCCTCTATATATTTGTAATAATCATATACACCAAGAATCTGCTTTTGCTATATGTGTGTGGGTGTTGGGTGGGTGGGGTGTACATAAATATAACAGATTGAGCCTATCATGGTTTACGCTTATCACACGCTTCGAAACGCGTACCCGTTGATTGGCCAATAGAAAGTGGACACGTTGGCAGTGTTTTAACGCCGGAAGAAACTGGGCACCTCAAGTTGTAAAAGTAAACCGTCATAACTAACGTCAGTACGGAACTGAATCTTCTCTCAGGCAATCAAGCCGTTCGATGCATGACACGTGTTACTTTGTTGGTTCTATGCCGAACCTTGTGAGAATCAAAAATAATATTAAAAAAATAAGTAAATGAAATCCCTATACTGTCCCTGTCTTACCTTCCAACAATCTCGATCGTGGCGGGGAAGGGAGGGAAGCCTTTTCGGCTGATTGACATCCTCAATATTTATTAAATGCATAATTATCACACGCGATCAAATTCAAGATAAATGGGTCAATACTCACGAATTGTGAAGTTAAGATTTTTAACTTGACACGACCAACCTACTGTGACAAACCAACTTGTGAATCAGCCTAGACAAGATCAGATTGATTTCAATTTAATTTCCATTTGGTCCTCATTTTCTAACTTATTTTTTCTGAACTTTATTTTTAACCACACGTTTCTTGAAACCCACAACTTTTATCAACTTTTCAATCACATATTTCATCAACTTATACTAAAATCTAATAAAAATTGATTTTTAGCTCACTCGAATAGGGGCTTAAATTTTTACGAGCTAGATCATTTTATAACAAGACCACCTACCCCGAACCATTTAACCTTCCGAATTGGAACCATGCCCACCAATTATATGTGCTTCAAGGTCAACAATGAAGATAAGAATTGAGAGAAAAGTCAGGCTAGAAATAAACGTCGTCAATTTTAACAAACAAACCGAACATTTGTTGTACAATAATACATTCGATCGTATCATATTATTTAATAAAAGTTAATTGGTGAATTCTTGCTTTCAAAGATGCTAATAGTGCAACAAGAAAGGAGATTCCAAAAATGATTAAAGCGCCACATGATTATCGATAAGATTTATATGTGGACGGTGCAGATTTTATTAGCAATTTTCATATATGACACTGGGGCCCACATAACTATGACATTTGTATAATATATTGTACGTAATAGTCAACATGAAGAAAATGTGTCTCAAAATATCAAGAAATTGGGGACAGAAGAATTGTTTTAATGGCACGCCCACCTCATAGAAATTGACCAATTAATTAAGGAAACTGTTTGTTTGCCAATTTTTCAAGGTGGGATTGAAGAAAAAATGAAGAGAAATATTTTGTATTCAGTGATTATAAAATGTAAGTATTTTTCAAAGATAATTGATGAAATCAACTTAAATATCTCGTTAAATGTACAAGCGGTAAGTCAATTGAGACGTAATTCAAAGTTCTAAAATCTTCGTTAGGAGTCAAATTTTCTTAAGACAAGAATAAAGACAAAAATGTTAGTGTCGAAGTTGATGTTTATGATTTGTAAGTATGGTCTAGCTACTGTGTTGTTATCAAGCATCAATGGCAACATCAATTTATATTCCATTTATAGGATATACTTTTGAAAAATGAAGTTAGGGTGGCTGTTTGATGTGTTTAATAGAGATAGAAGAGAGACTTGAAGATTGAATAGGACCATCACGACAATGAAAATCGATGACCCTACAAAACTCATTCTCAGCAAGAGACGCGCTAACAGAATTTTAATATTTTTTTCTTCGTTAATAAATGTTATATCCACCCTTGAATTCATCGATCCCTTTTACTGCAAGAGTTCAAGAAAGGATAAAATCGTTGGTTAAAGTGGCCTGGATCCAAATAAGGATATTAAATGGGTCAAATTGATCGACTTGGCCCATGTTCAGTTTGAAACGAGTTGAGCACGGACTGGCTCACACGTTTTTATATTTTTTTTAATTAAAAATTCAATAGATTTTATATTTTTGCTTCCTGACTCTAGTAAGAGCCGATGCGAGCTAACGAAGTAGTGAGTGGCTCATACGAGAAAAAACTAACTCAACTAGCTTCTAGGATGAGCACTCGGCTCGTGTTTGGGGCGAGCAACATCCCTAGATCCAAATCAATGAGGTATCATTCATATATAATTAAGGCCTGTTTATATTTCGGACTGGGCTTTTCTGTTTTGAACATAGATTGAACATTATCTCGTGGGCTTAATATGGACTATCAGCTGCATATAGTGTGGATGAGGCCCAATTCACCTCTAGCGTCCGGTTCCAGCACTGATGTCATCCATTTTTTCGGCCTAGTGACTTCACCACCTAGTCTTCTACTAGAAAATATCGACGTATGCGAGCGTCATATCTAGACGTGCGAAGACTCTGATACTATTGTTACAAAAAAATTAGCAAAACTCGCATTTAAGCGGTGATGTACACAAAAGACATGGCCAGATCCCAAGCCTTCACATATAGCCTGACCTATTGTCCCCGAGCAGTCATACCCCCAATTCCTCATAAAAGTGGTCCAGTCTGTCCCTACTGATCGGGCCTTTTGGTTGAGTCTTGGTAGGGTCGGGGTCTAATATTGATGATTCCCATAACTCAAATTCTCTACATTCATCCTTATGCAAATATCCAACATCTTACGATCCAAGTCGAACTCTAAAAGATAATTTTAGTATAACTCAAAAACTTTATATAATAAGGATAGGGATTCCAGATGTTTTAATCCTTATAGGATTCAGCCACCAATATCTATACATACAAAATCAAGATTCATAATTCAGATACGCTTACATAGTTTTCAATTCACAGTCTTACGCATTAATTCTCTCTCTAACTTAAATATCGGAGGAGCGACGATGACACACCTCTATGCATTTGTTTCTGCTACTGGAGATTCAATTCCGCCTATTTGCAATCTTCAAGGGGATACTATTTGTGTTCATTCCTTATCCTCAAGTTTGAGATTATTCAGGTGTAGATTTTGATAGCATCAAGCGGGGAAATGGATATTTTAAATCGAGAAGATCGACAGGTCAAAGGTTTTTCAAAAAGGAATCAGGTCAAGTTTTGAGGCCAGATGAAGGAATGGGATTGAAAATTTGGAGAGAAATTAGTTTTGGAATAGTGATTTTTTGTGGAATATCTGGTTACAAAATAAAGAAAAATTTCGATTTACGCGTAATATTATTTATGAGAGAATGTGTAGTTGAAGATTAGTTTCGAAAAAATGGGGGCCAAACATAGGCTCGGATTTTCTTTTGATGGGCCTAGTAATATTTTGGCATTGCAGGTACGCCAAGGAACATACAGCAATGTATTTAAAGCTTGGGATAAGGACACCGATAATATTGTAGCTTTAAAGAAAATCCCTTTCGACACCAGAGAGCGTGAAATTCATGGCACGAGAAATTATGATCTTACTAAAATTGGTTCATCGAATAATGTAAAGTTTGAAGGATTGGATACTCGAAGAATGCAGTATAGTCTTTATTTGGTTTTTGATTATATGCAGTAGTTGCATTTCATTCATCCAATCAAAATCTATTGTGATGCCTTACAAGAGACACAGGAAAGTGCAGATATATCATTTTGTTAGCGTGGAACTGGGCAGCAGCACGACTAACAGTACCTCAAGTGTCAAGCCATCAGAGAAAGAATCGAGCCCGCCCCATTTACCTTCCCCTGCTACTGAATCCCATCTTAGTGCTGCCTAGAATATCGAGAACCAGCCTCACCTGCCCAAATACCAGAAAACGCACAACCAACTACAACAAAAACTACGATAACATGTACAAATTGGATCGAGTCCAAAGGTCGGTTTCCACTAGAGAATTTTGAAAAGTGTGAACAAGAAAAGCCTATTTAAACTACATGCAGTTGATAATTAAGAGCTGTGGAAGATTAAACTGAGATATCTTTACATGTTATTCGACTTAATTTTTGTGTTTTTCCTTATAATTAATAATATAAAATCATTGTGTTTCAATAGAGAGTGCAAAGATTGATAATCTAATTCTGACCATGCTTAAGTACAGGAAGTTTACTGTACAAAATAAGAAAAAAAAATTACTATTCTTTTTCTTGCATATTGCATACTTTTTCTTCGTCAAAGGAACAGATTACTCGGTCTATTGCTATATATATAGCAGATGATATTCAAGTGCATTGTCTAACAGGAAAGAAAGAATACATGTCAAGCTGGGAACTCAAATTTAATTATTTGAAAAATACGTTCTTTACAATCACTTAATCCATCAGACAATGAAAAATTTGCCAAACATATGGCTTACACTTTGTATCTTATGTCATCAAATTTGCTCTTAATCCACTTGAAACTCTCTCTTACAGATGCTTTAACTTTACCTTCTGTTGTAAACATGTTATATGCAGCAATCCTCTTCTTCCTCTTCATTTCTGGATCAGTTGATGCTGCGAAAGCTTCATCTTTCGTGGTCGGGCCATTAAAAATGTACGAATTTGCTCGGTCTTGAAACCCGAACCCGAATTCAGTTGAGCAAGAGGAAGAGTACTGAGGATATGATCTGCTTTTCTCCATGCTCATCTTTCAACTTTGATCATATGAAACATTTATTTCTTTCCCATCATTTATATAAATTTCAAAAGCGTAAAAGTAATGCATCTCATGCAAAATAAAGTTGATTTTGGCGAACTTTTTGGTTCACGACTTTTTAGATTAATTATAAAGGAAAGATCAATGAGTGGCCTCAATAGGTAATAAGTGTCAAGATTAGCGGACAGTATGTTTCATGTAAAATATGTATTGATATTAGATCGGTTGTTTCATTTTCACTGTCTTTAAAATAAAATCTTGGTACATTGCTACAATTTCATAGTATCAAAACTTCAGAGAACATAACTACATTTTTTAAAGTGTCATATCTAAGATTTTGACACTTTAAAATTGTAGGGAGATGTCAATATTTTATTACGAAACAACAAAACATGACAAAAGAGTAGGATCTTGGGTAATTAGAATCCAGAATTACGACGCCCTAATCTGATTTATCTCAAATATCAGTATAAAATTGCATACAATGAATGAAGACTTCTTGATGGTGAATAGCTAGGAGAAATTTAGGTGGTACAAAGTTATGTGGGGTGGTACAAAGTTATGTGGGGGGCATGTGATTGGTGTTGGAAAGATGATAGCTTTTGGTGGTCACGCTGGGAATCATGAGAGGTGATGGGGGTGGGGAATAAGTGTCTAGGATGCTATTGTAATGAGATGATATGAATTCACATGGTGGTGGGGTCCTTAGAGATTAAGGTTTGGTATAATTAGGAATTTATTGCTTTACAAGTTATGAACCAATATATTGGTTAAAGCAAAAGTATGTAGCAAGTTAGGATGATTCTTTAGAATTTTAGCTAGAGCTGTCAAACGGGTTCACACGGCCCTCCCATCTGGATATTGTTTGGTGTTTATCTTGTTTTCACAAAAATGAAAGGATGTAATTCTCTTGGACGGACCCACGTGGGCCACAGACCAAGAGACCCATGTTAAGTATGGTGAGTCTCGAGTAATCTGACCTTATTTACACCTCTACGTGTACCACTTCTAGAGGTGAAATGTCAATTGGACTGTCTAGAGAGGTGGCCCATGCAGAGCTTGATTCTCTCGGCCTGCAGCCTGCACTAGCTGCTCACATGGTCCAAAAAAAGAAAGATAGAATAAAAGTGTAGGGCTGTGATGCCAAAATCCAATCCAGCGTGGACTATGATGATAAGTGACGCTGTTACGGTCCAATCCAGTCAGCTTGCTATTGCCTAATAATTTCATTAGTGAGCCCAAAAGTCTTCTACCGTTGCCATAATTTATTTCACACATCGGATTTTCTTTGAGAGACTAGGTTTTCTCTTTGTCTTCTGTTTTGTCTTTTCTCTTCGTCTCCAACCCCTAGGTAGACAATTTTTGGGTATTTTGAGTGAATCGTTGGAGTCTTTGTGATTCTATATGAGGAGTAGTTTGGATTCTGTGTTGAGGTTTTCTGGTCCCAATTTCATCGAGTATGTTTTGAGGTTCTAGGTTTGTGACATCACTATGATACAAAAATGTACAATATAGTATGAGCATGTTTTGTGAAATCTTGATGCCTTTGGTGATTTGGTTCGTGTTGTAAAGTTTCTATAAGGATTTGTAATTTTTGGGCCTTCACGTGTGAATTTTTGTACAATAAAATGGAAATAGGGAAAAAAAGATTAAAGATTGTGTGACAGCCTATGAGTTGTATCTACTACTAGGGATTCTACTGTAATAATTAAAACACGAACTTCGCGTTACTATGTTACTTTTTTTATGTATGCGTCCTTCACCTATAATTAAAACACAAGGTTATCAAATATGCCTCGAAGATACAATGAAACTTCTTTGAATGTTGGCGTCAATGCACTTGACAAAAATAATCCAAACACCAAGAAATTGATTAACTTAAATGAGAAGCTATATATTCCTAAAATATAACATAATATAGAGTTTGATTTTGGCATCGCGGGTACGCTAACCGGCATCGCACCTGCACTCTACAATCTTGGCCAAAATTCAAAGCTTCTTGATTTGCGTTTTCATCTTTGATTAAATCGTCTCCTTTAGTTCATCCTTGGAAATAATAGTTCGTCTACTGTTTTTGCTCGATAATTTTATTTAGCCACTCAATTAACCATACTTCTTTTCCGTCCTCTCCTAGGAACGGAAAACTAGGCCGCCTCCCTATGACAATTTCAACCGTTAGAACGTCAAAGCTATAGATGCCTCCCATCACTGTTGCCCATGCACCGTGGAAGTACTCCAGTGGCATGTACCTCGTTGTCCTGCCTACTTGAGTCGAGATGTGAGAATGACACTGCTAGATACGTCTAGCCAATCTAAAATCGGCAATATGCACCTCGAAATTCGCGTCCAATAAAACATTGCTGGCCTTAACGTCTCTATGAATTATCGGTGTATCCAAATTGTGCATAAAGCAAGCCCCTCAATCAACTCACTAATGATTTTGATTCTCATATCCAAAGATAACGGCAACCTTAATTCTACTTCATCACATTCTTCCTCCGACGATGATGACGTGTCGTGAAGTCATTAGTCTGTTGAGAATTTACTTAATCATACACAGCGAAAAATAAAATAATTTTCAATTCTCACAAAAGATTTACATTGTGTTTAGACAGAAATTGTGATAAGAATTATAGTTTTAATGAATTCTGTAAATTCTTTTGCTGATTCTCGAATTGAAATTATCACGATCTGCAATTCAAGCTGTCCAATTGTCCAGCCACCAATGGTGATCCACACAGAGAACAAGAATGAAGACAGTTGATGTGGTTTGAGTTCTTCTAGTTCATAGAAGTAGCTTCAACCCATCTGAAAGTGTGAGAGTTTAGGTTATTTGGTGCCTCTGTGATGAAGCAGACGGGGTATTTGTCTGAGCCTTTGATTGATTGAAATCTTGATGCCTTTATTTCAAGTTCTTCTGGGTTGAAATTCCTTGTTATATTTTCAAAACGTTTTATGTACTTGAAGTTCTTTGATTAATAGTATCCATCAATTGAAAATCGTGTGCCACCATAACGAATGTGGTGCACGATTTCAAGGCCAAAAATACCCACTAATTCTTTATTTTTTACTTTGATTGCTTCCTTCCTTTTGACAAAAAATATTTAATTAACTTAATTAGTTGTCATTTTCATAATTAATTGCATCATTTACAATTAACTCGTAATTTCCATAGTTAATTAATTATAATAATCAACTCTCGACCGTTCAAATCTTTTTAAGTAGTCAATCTTTTCTATTATCGACTTCACACTGTAAACTTTAATCATTTCTATAATTAATACACGAGTCCCCTTTTTCTCATTGCAATTTATTTGGACTGTATCACAAATAAGAGACTACATTGTGAATTAATGTCCGTTAATTAGTTCATCTTAATCATTGTATTTTTACAATATATTTAAAATGCATTTCTGTCATGAATATAATTAAATAATTAAATAAATTGTCATAACTCGATAGGCGAAGTAATCATGATAAAAATCGTGAACTCCAGAGTCTTTGTAGCTTAAAATTAGGGGTGTCCAAAAGTCCCGAACCGAATCGGACCCGAACCGAACCGAATCGAGTGGTTCTTCATAAATTAAATACCCGAACGGCTACCCGAATCGAGAACCGATGGGTTTGGGTCGGGTCTCGGGTCTAAACCAAGAACCGAAGAACCGAATAAGAAT